GGGGGGGGGGGGGGGGGGGCTGCTCATCGGAGATCTTGCTACACTTCTCTTCTTTCGCCTACTTGATCTGGAAAATGTCTGTTTCAAACGTTTTGCTCAATTCATGTATGAGCTCTCTGTTCTTCTCTACCGTTTTTAGATACCCTTCCCACTCTTCCTCCCAGTCTTTCCCTTTGCTTGAAAGTGTCTGCAATGCCCCTTATTAAGCACTTCGGAACTGCATTATCATGTAGTAACAGGTTTTTCGATTTGTTTCTCCTACCAACGGCCACTCCTTCTCCTGGCCACATTTTACTTCCTCAGCTATTTTTGCTCTGTAGGGCATCGAGACAAGATCGAAAATTGTGCGTTGAAGGCGAAGAGACTGCGTGAATCGGTGTTCCCAAAGTGAAAAAAGGCTTCGAAAAGCCGTTAAAAAGGGGGCTGGACGAGAATGAAACCAGAAAAATGAAGAAGGGTGGTGCGTCCGGACGAGCTTAGCAGTGTGTTTCACTGCGTACGTGTGGGTCCTGGTGCAAATAACTGACTACGGTAAGCAAAAATTCATACGCTCATAATCATAAGCTAACAAAAAACCTTAGTAACAGCAAAATTAGCCCATCTTTTTCACCCTCTTGGGGTAGAAAATTAAATAAGGGAGAGCAGCGGGAAGAAGAATAATACAGAAAAAAATGCAAGAAAAATACGTCTCATCACTCGGCGATCAGCTGATTGTGTGTGATTCCTAGAGCGAATATTGCAATCTGTATCGCCTCGACACTCGTCTGACGTGACATCAATCGAGGGGTGGGAAGGCTGCGCGAGCCGTGGACGGGGCTGTTACTATGTCCTAACTGTCGAATTTTGGGCGCGCGAGGGTTCTTCCTATTACCCTTGAGGGCTACTGGGTATACCTAAAGGCAGAACTCAGCAACCATTTGTATCGTTAACTGTGCCTTTAAACTACCTCCAGAATTATCACCTCTGGCGGTGCATGCTGTTCTTGTTTCTCCATCAGTACATAATTGTCGTCCTCTTGGCTCATCTTCCGTTGATTCGGGAATTGTCGCTTTCTGCAGACAACCATGCCTTGGCGATGATCTAGTATCTTCTCATCGTAACACACCTTGAGTGTTCCTTTTTCGCACTCTTTTCGCATACCCTTTCGGAACTTCCTTCTATAATGGGCTTTGAGGTTGATAGCACCGGGTCGGAAGAACTCTGATCTGTTCACACTCCTCTGTTCTTCTGTGCTCAGCCGCAAAGCTCTCGACTATCCTTCAGTATGGTTCGGTACCCATATAAGATCAGTGACTAGGTGATCAAATTTTTGGTACTGTGTTGACAGCGTTTCTGCTGCACAAACAGAACACGGCTTATAATAAATTATATTTATAGAAGTAATCAACAAAAAACCATCTAACAATTGAATACCACATGGTGACCGATGCGGTGAACTGCTTGGCGGTGTACCTGGTGTTTGGCGGTCTAGTTGGTGGCTGGCAATCGAGGCGGTGTCGGTTGGGGGGTCGAGTCCGGCGGAAGAAGTATGTGTAGGTTATTTCTCGCACCTTCTATAGCGGAAGGGTCATGCCTCAGGCAGGTAGGCTTCAGGCGTCACTTACATACCGTACCCGTGTGGCCTCGCCCGCGAGCAGGTCATTAAGACCCACCACGCTCGAAGGGCGATCTGCCAATGACTTGCGCCCTCCTCTTGTCATCCCCTTTCCATAACCCATCCTTTCTAATAGCATTAATAAAGTTAACGGAAACCGGAAGGCCTATTGCAACTGCATTGTGGTCTACGGCGACGATCCTCTCTTAAAATCTCAACACCGCCCGAGACGACTCCCCAACTTATCTCACCCTCCTAAGCAGAATCACGAAGGGGGTCCGCAGTCAACATCTAATAACGGCAAGGCCAAGAAGTTAATTCAGGTTTTACTATATTGCCTTACTTTTAGTTTTCGTGCTCTGTAAAGGTCTACTTTCAGTGCTCTGTAAACATTATGTACAGATTGTACCAAATTTATGAGCGCTAATGTTCGGAAACTTCTGCATTAGAAGTAATCAGTCAAATTACTATCACCTGTATCACTTTTCGCCCCGCGGGGGAGGCCATTCCCGCGTCACTCCGTTAGAATTCTTCGACGCAGCATCGCTTCAGTACCTTTCTGTTGAGATGGACCAGATAAGAATTGCAGTAGGCTACGGCTTCACCATGAATTAGAGCAAATCTCTTTGCTATAACGATGAAGCCCTTTCGAAATTGAGATTCACTTCATAGGTCAACAATTTGCTTGTCAAACGTTCAAAACAAGAATAATTTGAAATTTTTCGATCCTAGAAAACGCAATCTTTCTGTAAACGTGCATAGTTGGTCATTTTTTTACTTATGTTTTACAATTTCTTATTTCCCACCATTATGATGGTAAGCGTGATGTTATAGCTGGTCTCGTCCGATGACCTCATTATGTTGAGACGTGAATCGCACCATACTCGTCGTCCCGTTGATCATCGACTTCCTCGAGCGAGCGCCAATAACGTCTCCATTCGTCTCTCTCACGAGTCAGAGAGGTCCACTGAACTGTCATCGCTTCAGAGACACGAGGTCCAACATTCCTTTTGTGCAGAGCTTTCGTAGAGAAGTTTATTCATCTCGTTGACGGCCGTCCTGGAGTTCCTTTGATGTCCCGAGGGATCCAGTTAGTTACCTCCCTGGTCCAACGGTCATCACTATATCGCATAACGTGTCCGGCCCACCTGATCTCCTATTTCTCGGTATAATCAACGGAGCTCGGGACTTCGAATTCCCTTCTGCACTCGCGTGTATTGGGTGATTCCGAGCTTCGTTTTTTCCAAAGCGCCTTGAGCGCCTGACAGTATGCTCATCCTGCTTTCGTGATGTCCAAGTCTCCGAGGCGTACATCGAAGCAGGAAGGACAGCAGTGTCAAAAAGTGAGCGCGAAGTCGAATGTTCTTTGTCTTTTTCACTACTCTCCCGATATTCTTGAATGCTCCCCACGCGACGCGTTTCCCTTTGCACAGCTCTGGAGCTAGATCGTTCATCATGTTGACTTTCCGACCCAAATACACATAGCCAGAGCATTTAGAGATATTCGCTCATCTAGCGTGAAGGGAGTATCAGGTAGAAATCCGTTTCGCATGGACATCGTCTTCGTTAAAGGCATAGTTCACGATAATTCTAAGTAATCCAGATTGTGATGAAAATGGAAGACAAGATCGAAAATAGTGCGATTAAGGTGAAGAAACTGCGTAAACCGGTGTTTCCAAAGTGAAAAATGGTTTCAAAGAAC